GCAAAGGTCCTGGGGTGGAGACGGGCCAGGCATGTCCAGAGGCCGTGTGGATGGAGCCACGTGTAGGAGTGGGAAATGATGGAAAGGGCCGGGGCAAAGGTCAGATCGTGTAGGGTCTTGGTGGCCTCTGGGGACTTTAGGGTTTTACCCTGGGTGGGGTAGAGCACTTGAAGACTTTTCAGTAAAAATAGGCTCTGGGTTTTGTTCAGTGGCGTTCTGACCGCTGTGTGAGCAAGCAAGAGCAGGAGTGGAACCCGCTAAGAGATTGCGTCACTGTCTTGGTGGGACTCCCCTGCCACTGAACACCCGACTTTATATCCAAGAGGTCCCCGGTATGTGGCAGGGCTCTGTTCAGTTTCTAGGTGTCTCTGCTTTCTTTCTTTCTTCTACCTCCCAGGGGAGTGTCTTCCAGACTGGTCCTTCCTCCACTTTGACCTTTCATCCTCTCCCACCCTGTCAACTACATGCGTGTCTCCTTCCTTCTTGTGGGACTTAGAGACCCACAGAAGAAAGCAGCCCATCTAGGCCTTTCTAGGTCCCCTGAGTGAGACCTTGGGAATTCCCCATAGCCAGGGACCTGCCACCACACCAAGATCTGTTCCCACGTAGAGTGGAGCGTGGTTCTGGAGGTGTCACGGTGTCTCCAGGGATAGTTAGCTAGGCTGGGGTTCCTTTGCCAAGGGCCAGCAAGAAGACCTGGGGAGAAGAGAAAGGGCTGGGCAGGCTTGGGAGGAGTTGATGGGCGAAATGGCCTGCGCAGTGACAGAATGCCCTGAGCCAGAACGGGACTCAGAGGCGATCTGTGCCACTGCTTTGTGTCCCCTTACCAAGAAAAGGGAGACAGACTCCTGTGTCATTGTTAATTGATTTCTTCTCTGTCCAGAGAGCGGGCACAGAGCCAGGAGAAGCCTTCAGGGTGGGGGTAGTGGGGGGATTCATCAAAAATCGACCCACAGATGGCCCGGCTGGTAGATAATCAGCCCCTCTCATGCCGCAGCTCTGGGTTGCGGAACTGCAGACTCCATCCGGAGGGAGGAAGGGCTCCTTGAGACCAGCGTGCAGAGCCAGAGCTGGGCCTGCAGCCCAGCAGGGGACATCTGCCTCCACCCCCACCACACTGATAGCTTTAAAAGGCCCTGGGGGGGGGAGGTGCCTGCCCACCCTTTGGGCAGGAGCTACTATGGTTGGGAGCCTCTTAGGAAGCCGCTTACAAACCTGCTTCCAGAGGGTTCCGTCACACTGATCAAATCCAGCCTGGGTTTGAACCCTTGTCTACCCAGAACCTGCAGTCTGGGGAAAGTGATTTTAGTGTGCTGTGTTTTCCTTTCCTCATCCACAGCATAGGTATGATGTCACCGGACAGTCCTGCATGTTAGATGGGCTGGCAGCTGGGAAGCCTCAGAGTGGGAATGCCCCAGGCAATGCGAGCTGGGAGTCTCAGGAGTGTTTGCTCATGTGAGTCCTGGTTGGCCAGCTGCCACTGGAGGCCCTGTAGGGCAGCCTGTGGGGATTCTCTCAGGGCTGTCTCACTTCTTGGTGACCAGGTAGCTGTAGAAGCATGCGGGTATATTTCTGGAACTCTCGTTCACCCACAAGTCTGTGCTTCTGGATAGACCCAGCCCTTTGGGAGGCCGACCCTGACTGGGAGTAGTTCAGGAGCCAGCACCATGAGGAGGAGCCCACTCTGTTCATGTGCGGCCTCCTGTTCCCTCCAGACTGAGTGACCATGTGGGTTGGCTTCATCCGGCACCAGCTGGCATCCTCACTCAGGAGAACAGAGTGTTTGAGAGGGCCCTGGTGGGGCAAGCAGTACCCAGGGCCACTCTACAGGGAAGGGATGGCTGCTTCCAGTCACACTTGGTGAAAGAGTTTTCCATTTCAGAAATGTGTGTTTGTTTATTGATTGGTGGTGGTGGTGGTGGTGGTGGTGGTGGTGGTGGTGGTGGTGGTGGAGGAGGTGGTGGTGGAGGAGGTGGTGGTGGTGGTGGTGGAGGAGGAGGAGGAAACTGACTCCAACAGGAGTCAAGCTTGCGATCCTCCTGCCTCAGCCTCCTGAGTGCTGGGATGACAGGCACGTGCTACTTCACTTGTCTTATATTATGAGGCTGTTTGAAGTTGTCATGGACCAAGGGGCAGCCCAGTTTTCAGTTTGTATGTGCACACTCTGGGTTTGATCCCTGGCACAGTATAGACCACGGTGATACACCCCTGTAATCCAGCACTCAGAAGGTAGGGTCAGGAACTTCAGGAGTTCAAGGTCACTCTCAACTACCTGGCACATTCAAGGTCATTCTGAGATCCTTTCTCCAAAACAACAGAAAACCTACAGTTGGTTAGCAAGAACTAGTTGAAGGGCGACAGGAATGGGGAATGAGGCATTGGATGGAAGAAGTTGTGGGGGTGGGGGGTGACAGCTTTAGGGTAAGAGGAGGCACCAGGCAGTCAGGAGGGCAAGGTTCAGATGTCCTCTGCTGTCCTCTCTGGAAGCCAGTGGGGACAATGAGTCTGTATGCTTGAATGCCGTGGGAGGAGGAGAGCCCATGTCCCCAGGTCATGGAAAGGACTAAGAAACCCATGCAGAAGGGTGACCACTGCCCAGAGATGGCTCACACTGCAGTGTGAAAGCTCTGCTTCTGCCTCTGGGTGACCTGTTTCATCCCTCACTCCCAGATGTCTGATAGGGAAACTGAGGCACGGCAGTGTTAAGTGACTAGGCAAGAAACTCAAAGGTCTGTGCTCTTAACTGTCACTCAGGGTAGCTCGGAGAGGCCACTGCATTGGCTCTTTCTGGTGGCAGATGAGGGTTGTGGTATGGCAGCTAGCCAGTGTCTGCCCTCTTGGGTGCCACCCTCAGTGACCATGCCAGACTTCATTTCATTCTGTGTCCTCAGTGGCCTGGTGTCATGACTCTCCCCAGCTCCTGTGGCGCTTGTTTTGCAGGCCAGCCCAGGACTTGGGGTAGGCAGTGGGAGCCACTCACAGTCCCTCCCCCTCCCTGCACCCCACTCCCGCCCACCACCACCACCACCATCGCCCAGGGGAAAGGCAAATGAAATGCTCAAGGAGACATTGTCCCCTATAAGCCTATCCTGACACCTGGGTTGGAACCAGGTACTCACAGCACAGTGGGAGAGATGACCACAGACAGTTAAGAGGTCAGGAGGGCTCCACCAGCAGCAAGGAGAGCCTCTGGGGCTCTCATAGCTATCCTGGACCAAGAGACAAGAGGAGGGAGTACCCCATGGGCCCCCAGCAGAACTGTGGTCACTGATGGGGGGCTACTGCCCTGTGTGTGGCAGGGGGTGGAGAGTGGGCATGGGGAGCAGAAGGAGGAAGAACATCTGAGTCCGGCTGGCCCTTACAGAGGCGGAAGCAGGCATGGCTCCTTAGGAAGAGATGGGAAGGGTGAACAGCGCCCACCCAGACCTCCCCGGGATCTCTCTAGTGTTAGCACCATCCAGAGAACCAGCGTGGCAAGTTTCTCCCTGGGGGCCCTCGGAAGTATCTGGAGAAGCCTGTGGGTGCCCTAGGCCTCTGAGTTGTGTAGACCCAGGCTGTGGCATGGCCTTCTGGAGTCTGGCAGACCCCACTCTGCAGAATTCAGAGTTTCTTGGAATCTCTACTCTGGTTAGCTCTTTCTTTGCACCAGACACTGCCCAAGGTACAGGGGACCCAGGTGTAACCAATGAAAGCCCCATCTCTGTCCTCCTGGGGCTGTCCCTCCTGTGTGGGGGATGCGGGGGTGGGATGTGTGTGTGTATCACCGGAAGTAAGCTCATTTCAAGGTGTGGTGATTGATTGGGGAACATCAAGCAGGTGATAAAATAGCACTTGGATGGGGGCCGGTGGAGGGGTTGTTGTAGTGCCTAGACTTGGTGAAGCGGAATGAGCTGGTCAGACGAAGACAAAGCTCTTACCGTGATTACAAAAGGCCAGGGTCAAAAAGTCAGGGGGTAGAAATGACCCCATCTTGTCCAGCAACAGAAGGAAGCCAGCGGGGATGGAGAGGTGCGTGAGAGTTGGCCCTCAAAGGAGGACATTTGAGTATAAGACTGAGCAGCCAGGGCCTTGAGCCAGCACAACCAGAAGCAGGTCCTCCTCCCCCACTTTTGCCCTACATCTGAGTTGCTGCTAGCACACGCTGCCCTGCTGCGTCAGGGGATCTACTTGCCATTTTAGGAAGTTCCCTCCAGCCGCCCTGAAGGCTAGAACACCCCTGGGCACTCTTACAGCCCTAGGGTGGGTGTGATGGTGGCGACAGCATAACCCTGTGGGGCCAGAGGACGCCCTGAGCGCCCTGTTGCTGGGTCCCCTACCGCCATGGTCAGCAGGACCGGCAGACTCCTCCAAGGTCACGGCTGTGGTGGTGTGTCCTGACTTCTTGATGGCTTCCCTTCTCTTTCCCCCCAGCAAAGTGGGTGCTGAGGCCTCTCTGCAGGGCCGTCGTTCCCATCTCCCTCACCCACCTTTGCTGGAGGTACTGTCGCCTGGGCTTAAGGATGACTTGAGACTAGTGTGGGATGTGCCAGTTCCTCCCTCAGCCTTCTCTGCGGTTGTTACCTTGAGAGGAGCCCTTTCACCCATGTGCACATGGCCCTGTACTTAGCTTGGTCCCTGGGAAAACTGGGGTTTCTTTGTTTGTGGGGACAACAGCCCCAGAAGGGCGCATCTAATACCGGAACCAATGGCCACACAGCCCAAAGCATCCTAGCGACCCAAGTAGCCCATTGCTGGGACCGGAAGGGAAGGGCCAGACAGAAGTGCTGTTGGCCTGTCCCCTTCTGTGTCTAAGTGGGTGGGTCAGCCAAAGCTAGGCTGACCTACCTGGGGACACTTCTGCTGCTGCTGATCTGTCCCCAAGCCAACTGTCAACGCTTCTCTAGTTTAGCCCACACTGCATTCCCACTGTTCTAGAACATGGGCAAGACTACCCTTGCCCTTCTTTTGTGCGAGGCAGTGTGCCAGTACACTGACTCCCATCTATCCCTTTCCTCCTTCAGATCCTGAGGGAAGAGGGGAAGGAACCCCATCCACAAGACACCACCGCAGCCTCTGCATCTAGGAGGAAGCAACAGACCAGAAACCACGCCAATGGCACCCCCTGGCCTGCCGCTATGGCTGCTGTCCACCGCGCTCCTGTCTCTGCTGGCTGGAAGCTCAGCCTTCCTGTCCCATCCTCGCCTGAAAGGCCGCTTCCAGAGGGACCGCAGGAACATCCGGCCCAACATCATCTTAGTGCTCACGGATGACCAGGACGTGGAGCTGGGTAAGTAGCCGAGCTGGCCAGGATACCTGGGGCTCTAGAGGTGCCATGTCCTCACAGTCCCTCGGAAGATCCGGGTGCCAGGCAGTTAAGTGGCTTCTAAGCAGATATAACCTTGGGTGCCACAGATATAACTGTGGGTCCCTCAAGAATGGGGATCCCCAACTTCTAATGAAGAGTGGTTCCCCAGTTTCTACAACATAGGGGTAAAGAGACTGAGATAATTTTGTTCTTGTTGACCACTTTGCTCTCCCAAGCTACTGGCCCATGGCCTTGGCTGAAAACTAAGCCATCCCCACTCCCTTCCCTTCTGAGCAACTGTCACAGGCTTTTGCTCCCTCTACTACAAAAAACCTTCTTTCTGTTGCACCAATAAGAAACCCCAAAACTGAGGCCACTGGAAGGGGGCTCCAGAGTCAATCCAGATCTGTTCTTGTTCACCTCTGTGGCATCTCCCAGGGGGCCCTATTTCTCCCCCTCCTCCCACCCCCGCATCTTCTCACCCTGAAGTCACTGTATGGCTTCCTCCCCGACTGAACCCATATCCATGCTGCCCCCCTAGGAACACTCAGCCCTCTGTATCCTCAGTTCTGCATTTGCGGACTCAACCAAACACAGATTAAAAACATCGGAAAATGGGGGCTGGAGAGATGGCTCAGCGGTTAAGAGCACTGCCTGCTCTTCCAAAGGTCCTGAGTTCGATTCCCAGCAACCACATGGTGGCTCACAACCATCTGTAATGATATCTGGCGCCCTCTTCTGGCCGCAGGCATACATGCAGACAGAATACTGAGAATACTGTACACATAATAATAAATAAATAAATCTAAAAAAAAAAAACATCGGAAAATGTACCAGCATTTTCCGTTCTCACTATTCCCTGAGCGGTACAGTTGGACAGCTGTGCCCAGCACCCAGTGTCGCTGGTCATCTCGGTGAATAAGGGGGTTCAACTTATTAGCAAAAAGCACATCCGTTAACACGAGGGCCTGAACACTGTCAGAACCTGGTCCCCCAGCACTGAGGGACAACTGTCTGTCATGAGCCACAAATGCAAGTGGCCTGGGGTGTGGCTCAATTGGGTAGAGCGCTTGCCTGGCTGGTGCCAAGTCCTGGGTTCAATCCCCAGCACTGCAGACACCAGGCGTGGTGACCTAGAACTGTAATCCCAGCACTAGGGTGGTGGAGACAAAAGGATGAAAAGTTCAAGGTCATCACTGAATAGGTAGCTAGTGGGAGGCCATCCTGGGCTGCAGGAGGCCCAGAAATTAAAAGGAATAGATAGATAGATAGATAGATAGATAGATAGATAGATAGATAGATGGAAGCTAGTGAGATCAGTTGCAGTAACGTTTTGTTTAACCCCATATGCAAACTATACCTGAAGTGCGATCAGTTGAGCAAATTACTTGTGAATGCTTTGTCTATCTTTACCTTGCTCTCAATGCCTGGGAGGTGTGTGTCTTGGTTAGGACTGGCCACCTCTCAGGGGCTCCAGACACGTGCACAGTGTACACTCACGTGTGATCTCTTTGTCCTGGAAGCTAGCTGTCGTCCCTCTTCATCATCTGTACTACTGTGTATTGTGAAAATCCAGGGCAAGTGTCCCCGGTTGTGAAGGCAATGGCACATGCAAAGGCCCTGGGACAGGATTAAGGAAGTAGATACGGCTGGAGCCTGGAAAGGGAGATTGACAGAGACTAGGGCTGTGGTAAGGACTGCCTGTTGCTGAACTGGTAAAGGGTGGGTTCTTTCCTGTCTGCTTTCTGAAGACATCAGGATACAGTTGGTGGCAATGAAGGGAATGACTTACAAGGTGGATCTTCGCAACTCACGCCTGTGTTTTAACTACTCAAAAAGGCCACTTGCACAAACCTAAGCCGGTGTTGGCACAGTGGGTGCTGAGAACCCCAAGCGTGGCTTTGTGTCTGGGCGTTATCAGTGCAGAAAAAGCCTGGAAGCAGTGAGAGTTCAGAGATTTATCGACAGCTTGACGTACAGGGCACTGGTCTCCTGATCACTGGCAAGGAGCTCTGCAATACGAGGCTGTGGGTGGGAGCCGATATGCTTGCAGTGGTACCTGCCCTCTGGCCCCTGGGCTCCTTCCTGTGGCTCTCAAGCTATTGGAACGAGTGTTACAGCACCTGAAGCACCCCACATGGCCACTCAGTCAGGCAGCACAGCTTTAACAAAAGCAATAGGTATTTGCTCTGCAAGGGTCTGGGCCTGGGGGAGGGTGACTTTGCAATGGGAAATATTGAGGCAGAGCAGGGGGAGCCACTGGGACCAGACCCATGGGGCATGTGACAATGTGACCACAGTGAGGGAACAGAGGGATCGTGGGTATTCTTCTGAGACAATTGGGTATTCTTCTGGCTATGGAGCCCAAGTTGGCCTTGAGCTCAGATCCTCCTGCCTCAGCCACTTGAGTGCTGGAGCAACAAGCATGAGCCACCACACCCAGTGTCATTCTTAGTGAGGCAACTGGGAGGGACTGTGGCCTCACCTGAGTTGCCACAGAAGTCCTCTGCTGTTCTGATGACATCAGGGGACAAGAGTAGAAGCAGAGGTTTCCCAGCAGGCCCTCCAGGAGCAAGGTGGGTGAGGGTGAAGGCTCAGAGTGGGGTGGGCAGGGCTGTATACATATATACTTGGATGCACGGGTGTGGGACCTGAGCCAGTAGAGACTAAATGCTGACTTTCAGGACAAGTCAGGGATCTGTGGATGAGCTGAAATGGGAAGAGGATAAACCAAGACTGACTCTAAGTAGATACCCATCCCCCCCTCCGTCTTGCCATTGGAGAAAGTGAAGCACAGAGATGACAAACCACATGTCTGGGTTACACAGCTAAGTTGTGGTGAAACAGGATTTTGAACTGAGAACCGGTGGCCTTTAGCACTGCTCTGCTCAGCCGGTTTCTGGGATAGGTGAGGGATGTCCGAAGAGTGTCCATGTTGATGCTTAACTGTCGCAAGTACCTTCCCTGGCAGAATCTGCAGATAGGCATCTTATTGGAAATTTCAGAGAACCCGTCAGTGGGGACAGGGCCTCCCATATTCTGTACTACGACAGCTCTCTCCAGCGGCCCTAGATGCTAGAGATTGGTGCCCACCGACTGTCACCTCCCCACAGGTAGTGTCCTAAGCAAGCCAAACTGAGTCTTTGTGAGGAATGTGGGGTGGGAAGCAGGTAGTTGGGGGGCTGATGGGCTTTTTATAAACCAGACAGACCCAGATCAATAATGCATGCTCCCCAAAAGCCCAACACATTAGCTCACAGTTGGCCAAGCCGAGGGTGGTCCTGAAAAATTCATCAACTGCTATTTTCTGCTTGTCTGTGAGGCGGCTCCACAGGGCCTCTGGCTGGAGGCCTCTCAGCAGAGCTAATCTTGTGCGGGGACAGCTGTCCACTCTCATCAGCACCCAGTGAGAAGAGGGGCCCCTTCTAGCTCATGGTTGCTGTTGTGTTTACCTTGCTTTTCTGGCATGCCTCCAGTTCCCTGGTTGTCACCTGGGAGTGCTGGGTGCTGGGGACTGGTCCCCAGAACATTAGTAAGCGAGGGCACACAGGAGCATCAGCAGGACGTGGGGTTGGAGTCATACATGACATCACAGTGCTGTCACATGCAGCGCTGCATCCATGGTGGCCAAGGAGATGCTGGGTTCTGCTAGCGCTGGCCAAGTGAATTGGATATGGGCCAACTCCAGGACATCTCCAGGGCTCAGCTGGAATCTGAGAGTCCAGGGGGAGTCATGCATTGTCCAAACACGAGCTCTTAGATATGGCTGCTCCATCAGAGGTGGCAAAGGTCAGCTGTGTGGTCCTGTTAGAAGGGACACTAAGGTGCTGTAGGGACAGGTGTCTCATCAGATATGAGAGCTCATAAATGAAGCCAGGCATAGTAGTTTATGCCTGTCACCCCAGCACTCAGGAGGTGGAGGCAGGAGGATCAAAAGTTCTAGCCCAACCTGGGCTGCATATCTCGAAAACAAAACAAAGCCAGACAGGCACAGTCGCAGCCCATTGGTCTTGACTCTTCCAGTTACAAGGGACTTCCTGGAACTCAGTTCAAGCAGTGTGGGTGCAAACCAGGACCAGCAACTTACTGAGGCAGGGGAATAAAAGGTTCAGGCGTACTTCGAGCTTCAGATGCATTTGGACCCAGGCGTGTCCCTCCAGATGTCACCAGTCTCTATGTGGCACCCTGCTTTCCTCCAAGCTGCCTTCAGACCAGCTCACTAAGCCGATGTTAGCATTTCCCAAATAAAGCCCAGTGTAGCCATCAGCCATTACCCTGCCCAGCAACCCCCTGGACTGGGATTAAGAGAAACTGGGCGGGTTTCCCTAAAGGGAATTTAGGCATTGACTCCGGAAGATAAGAGCAAGTCAGGAGGTACTCAGGCTTCTCCCATACACATCTCTGTCTGCAGCAGGATGCGTCTTGTCTGCTGCAGGATGCACATGTGGACCATACTCGTTCCTTGCATCATCATTCCCTGAGCACCTGTTATTAGCCAGAGTACTGAGTAACAAAATTGGCAGAATCTTGACCGACACGGGGCTTGTGTTCTAGTGCAGATGCATGTCAGTAACCAAGACAACACACATAGCACATGACATGGGACAGTGGTGAGAACAAGAGACAGAAGTCAAACACAGAGGGAAGGAGGACCTGTAACTTTATCCAGGGTGATCACATCGATAAAGGGGACATTGGATCAAGAAAGGTCAGGGAACCTGTCAAGGGGACTCCTGGGAAGAGCCGCCAAGCAGCAGTAATGGTTGGCGCAAAGGCCCTAAGGCAGAGATATTCACGGCAGGCTGACTGAGTGGCAAGGCAGCCTGAGCCAGGGCACGGGAAGTGGGAAGTCGGAGGGGTAGTGATGGTAGCATGGGTCGTGCCAGGGCATAGGGCTCTGAGCCAGAGAGAGGACTTGAGCTTCAGGTAAGGATGGATGCCAGTGGCTAGCCCTGAGCAGGGGAAACAGTTGGTTTACATCT